TATTGTTTTTCGCAATCCCTCCAGTGTAAACATCCAGAGAACTACGAAGAGAAAAACAGAAATCTTTAATTTTTCATTTCGAACCATACTCTTATAGGGTATAGTTGGTTTTTAAATAAAAGATGTCAATATATTCCTAAGATCTACTTGAATCTACAAACCCAAATTCATTCAAAACGGTGGATTATTAAAAGAGTTATAGACCATTAGTACTTCCCTACTGGCTCAACCTAGTGGCCTTTCTCTAGAGAGAGCATTTAAAAGTCGTCTTCTTCCCATACACTTACACTCTCAGCTCACATTTCGGCCTCTTCGCTCCAGCCATCCAGTGATGGCAACAATTTCGAGATACATTTTTAAAGGCGCCATAAAAGTCGAATGATGACAATGTCAATGTCTCGCCCCCACCCCTCCTCGTTCTCACCTCTGGCAGCTGCTGGTGGCATGTGCTACTGACCTCCAGCTGGGCCATAAAATCCACACGAGAGCCAAACGGAGAGAGATGCTGGTGCAGAATGTGGGCGCCATCAATTATAATTCTCGCGCGCGCAAAAAATTCACTTTTATGGTGGCGTATACTTGATGTGGTCGTTGATTTCCCATGTTTGATCATTGGAGCCCCCCCTCTGGACCCCAGTCTGGCCCGGTCTGCTTAATTATGGACAATTGGCTGACGAGATATTTGTCTCACTGCAGCTTCCGGTATTTCGTTTCTCGGGCATTGTGTTCCACCTTCATTCATTCTGGGAAGAGCATCCCAATCCTCCTCCCGCCCCCTCTGGAATTAAATATAAATTGAAATTCTGCGGCTGGGTCGCTCGCCTTTTGTTGTGGGTGGGTGGGATTTTTGATCAATGCAGTCACAGTCTCATGTCTCAATTTTTTTGCAGTTCTTGCCCCACATACTATGATATATATATATACACTTTGTGGCGTCGGCCCGTGCCTGTCGCATTGGCTTTCGGATAATCTTTATCAATTTGGGCCACTGACAGTTTCGGTTTCTCGGCAACTGTTGTTTGTGGACAATGGGCAGCTTGTTTGGGCAAATATGGCCTCGGTTCAGACTATCTCTCAGATACTGGCTCCATGCTGATTAAATGGCTGAGATGACTCACTTTCTATTAATATTTTTCTCGAGTCAATGCCCATTGCAAGATCTTGCCATTCATCAGCTGGATATAGGCTCCTCCTCGCATGTAATTATTAAAATTTTAATTGGTGGCAGGGATTCTTCTTTGTGATATTATAAATTATATTTTAAACACGAACCGCACAATCAAGTTGAATAAATTGTAAAACGAGTGACTGGAGATACGGGTCGCAACGAGTGAAATCATCGAAACAAAGATAACTCCTCCAGTGGCAGCAATCAGGGGGGGCACCCAACCACCCAACCAACCAAACAACCAACCAAACAGCAAGTGATAATCAATAAAAAATCAAGAAAATCAAATAGTGAGGCCTTAATGGCTATAAACACAACTGAAGTATGTGATAAGGTCAAGTGTAAATCAAAGTTTGTCAACGGTGCGTATACGCAATACAATAAATACAAGTTTCATGAGGCTCATTGCATAAATCCAGCTAACTGAGAACCGTTAACCATTAACCGTTAACCGTTAGGAGTGATAAGGTCCGACGCTGAGGCCCCATAAAGCCAGATTGCTTGTTAAATAATACATATGGTGTGTGTGTGAGGTCGGAACTGAAATTCCCATAACTGCCATTTTCGACTCAGATCCCGATGTCGTTCGCACTTTCAAGACTCGAACGCGCTCCAAGGACCTCACAAATAACGGCAACTGGAACGTCAGAAACGGAAGGACAAACGGAAGGACAAGGAGTTAATTGAGAGACAAGCGAATCAGCTTGAGAGGCGACATCAAAGCCACGCTGATGATGGGCTACATCATGGGTTGTGCTTGTTTCAAAGGTGAGATTGAAAGACAAAAACTAGGACTCCGGGTCGAGGTATTAGGGTTGTGAATAAGGATATGCGAGAAAAGTTATACAGGCCTACAAAAATTAACCCTTTTTTCTATATTATTTTAAAGTTAGGATCATTATTTTATGATATCTTATAGAAAATATATACAAGTCTTCAATCAACAAGCTTTGTTAGCTTTGTCTTTAGAGAGAATGGGTAATCGTAAGATAATTTTTGTTTATATTGTTTTATATAGTATATTTTATATAGATATACATCTTATAAACCTATTTTGCTCTATATTATGATCTCTATAGTCCCTAAAGTATTCTCCCAGAAGAACCATCTATCCATCAAACTTCAATTAAAAATCCCACTCTATTCCATTATTATAAAAGGTGTAGGAATCTTAAAAAAAAAACAAACATCGTTAAAGCTGTAACTGTAAAGTTATAATAGACAGTTATGATAATACAACCATAAATGCTTTAATAAAATTATAGTATATCCTATAGACTCTATAGTATAGGGAATTCCATAGTCTATAAAGTATTCTCCCAAGAACTACAATAGATCGTAGAACCATTAATACACACCCAACAAACAACTTTTAAGGTTTAATACGTACAGAAATAGTTATTATTATAATACAGCCATAAATTCTTGAATTAAATTAAAGTACATATAGTACTAATAGGGTATCCACCCAGTCGATAGGGTAGTCCCCCCAGAACTGCCATCTGTCGAATATCAATCCCCCGCCCGTCTCCCACAGTTTCCTCCCGGCATTTCCTTCCGCTCATTAGGCGGCTCTCGAGGAAGAACTCAAAAAAGTAGAATTTTCAAAAGGAGAGAAGGAGAGAAGCAAGAAGAAGACCTGAAGAGAGGAGGAAGAGAAAGCACACCTTGAGGCGGCTTTTCTTTTCGGTTTCTTTTTTGGAGACCGCTTCGCCTTTGTTGTATTCCGCTGCACACGCATTTTCGCATTTTTCTGTGCAACGTCACCAACGACGTCACACTGCCTAGAACGGGAGATAGAGCCTGCGCTCTGGATCCTGCTCTCGCGCCACCTGGTTATATCCTGTTTCTTTTCGCTCTCTTCTTCTTAGAGAGAGGAGGACTCTCTCCAGTTAACAGAAAGTTAACATTTTTATGGCAACTGGTCTGCATTTTTGCATCGAAGCCTGCAAGTAATTGTGTGTTTTTCTTTTTTTTTTAGGTGTTTTTCAGGCTTTTCTTTTCTTCCTTTTCCGCCATGTCCTTTTTCTATGTGTGTGTGAGTGTGTGTGTGTAAATTACTCGATAGCCTTTTGAGTGCAGTGTGATTTCTAGTTCACTGTTTGTGGATTTTTCGGTTTTATCGGCGGTTGTAATGATTCGGTCCTTGAATCCAACTAGCTTATATGGCAGGAGTAGGAGAAGGAGTGGGAGTAGGGGTTCTAGGACACAGAGTTCTTGGTCTATATCGCGTATACGACATGGTGGCGTGATGGGTTTTGGAGATAAAGCTAATTTCCCAGAAGAGAGTAAGAATTCTTCTTTATTTTCAACACCTGGAATTCCTAAGAAGTAGAGGCCTTTTCAGAATGTCTTCGGGCACTTTGCAGTATCCTTCTGCCACGCCTCTGCCTTCCGTAAGCTCGTCTCTGCCTTGCATTCCGTAAGCCACAAAGTATGAGTAAGCACTTAACCCTTTCCCAGCCACCTCCCTCTCCGCCCCCCGCTCTATGCTTTCTACTTTCTCTGTCAGGATTCCTGGCACGCATTGCCAGTCTAACCTTTCACATTTATGCGTCGCACACGTCCCTCCCCCCCTCCTGCCCAGTCCCTCCAGTTAGTTTTATTCAATTTTTGCGCTATTTTTACTGATGCAATTTCCCAGCTGCAGCGGAAGCGAGGAAATCGAGACCACCAGTGGAGGGAGGGGCAGGAGGGAGGCTGGCTAAGTGCTTGGCCCATTAAAGTATGCAATCATTTTGCGGTTAGTTGCCCTTGTCTCGCATTCTGTCCTCATCCTTTCAGCTATCTCAGTTTCTTCGCCTTTACGGCTGCATAAATTCCCGCCCGTAGCCCCTGGCTAATCCATTCAAAGGTCGACAGTTTCTTGACAGGATTAGCGCTCTTCGAGGAGTTATGTGGCCAGTAAACCCTACTTTATATCTCATCTTTAAAACTGGTTTTAATTTTTAGTATTTTTCTGTGAAAAGCAGGGGCACTATGCACCTTTTATCTTTGACATTTGTGGCCTAAATGTGTGGGCCAAGTTCATTCATAAACAAATTAGTGGCTTTTCCCCCCACGGTCCTCCCCTTCTTCTATCGAAAACACATGACCCCCATTTCTTCTCTTCTCTCTGAAGAATCTCCAACCTCTCTAATCCAGAAAGACACCCGCAGAAGCTTCGTATAAATAAATAAATAAACAAGCGTTTAATTGAACCGGAAATTATTGTGTGTGGGCGGTGTGTGTGTGTGTCTGCTTCTTCTTCATGTCTGCTAGAGTGTGTGTGAGGGTGTGTGTGTCTTATTGGAATTTCTTTTTGGATTTCTTGCAGTTGTTTTTGTTTGTTTGCCTTGCGTTTTGGCCCTAAACTCGTGTTTGCCGAGCTGGTTTATCGGTGAGAAAGAGACAGCCTCTTGGGTAGTGAGAGAGATGGGTATACATGCAGAGGAGTGGGATTACAAGCTAGTTTCCCGCATGTTTCCCTGCTTGTAGATACTATTTTGTGTACGATGTGTGTCTGATGGTCGGTTGGGTAACAAGTGCCTGAGATTGGAGTTCTAATAGGATTATCTTGGCATTTATTTAATTATTTTTATAAGAAATTGAAGCTATTTTGACGAATCTCTAATAGAAATCTAGAAACCTCTATTGGATTCCCCATTAGGGTGGTTGGGTATCTGTTAGGTTGTGTATCTTGCGGCATGTTCGACTGGCCGTTAATGGCTGCTTGGGACACGCCCCTCAAACTTGTTGAACTGCCTCCTCTGCAATCTCCTCTAGGAGATCTGAGAACCAGACCTATAAAGAGTTCCCTAGGCTGCTAAATCAGTCTAGTTCTTTGGCAAGAATGTCCTTCGTGGCAGCTCTGAGACGCACAACTGTGGAGTACTTTCGGAAGACAAGCCTCAATGGCTTTGGGTTGCTGTACTTCCTCAGGAGGCGGAAGATCCAGCGACTCTTCTGGTTCTCGTTCATCGCCTTCGGCATCCTGTTCGCCAGCTATGCGGTGTTTGCCATGATCCTGGCCTTTCTCAACTACTCCACCGTCATAGATCTCTCCCAGGTGGAGGTGTTGGAGGAGCAGCTACCACTTCCGGAGCTAAGGATCTGCAGTGGCTATAGGTTCAGTCGCAGGAGCATGCACAGGTATGCGGAGGAACTAGGACATCTGAGTAACAAGTCACAGGACTATTGGCTGGAAAAGTTGCCTTACCTCTCTGGCTTTTATGATTCCTTGGCTGTGAAGTCGGAGGATATTGAAGAACTTAAAGGACCACTAGCCTCCACCAATATTACTGCCCTTTTGAAGAAACTATCGCCTTCCTGCAGGTCTCTAATCCTTCGCTGTGAGATGAACCATCTCTCCACAAGCTGCTCTGAGCTATTTGGCTTGGAACTGACCACCGAGGGAAACTGTTGTGTTTTGAAGAAGGAAAACCTGACCGGGGAACTGTCACTCTTCCTCGACTCTTCCCGGGAAGATGCATTCCCCCTGAAAGGGGAGACCGCTTTGGGCTTCACCTTTCACACTCCCAATTGGCTCGGAAGAGCTAGTGTTGGTCCAGGGGAAGTGGCCGTATTGGAGCTGGAAGTAACTCAGCTTCAAGGAAACTCCCAGCTAAAGGACTATTCCACCCGAAAACGAGGCTGTTACTTTCCCCAAGAGAGCTCACCCAGGGACAGGTGCCTAGATGAGTGCCGAATCAAAGCCCATTTAATTAACTGCCAGTGTGTGCCTTATCCTTTCGAGTTGAAGAATCCCCACCAGAAGCACTGTACACTGGGAGAAATATCCTGCCTGCAGTTGGTAGAGGGTGAGTGGGGGAATCCAACCCCAAAACTAGCTACTATAGTTAAGATTTTCCAGAAAACTGGTCCCCTTCGCAGTGCCCCGAGTGCCTGCCGTACTGCAACCAGATGTTCTATAGACTCCACAAGAGTGTCCTTGGGAACTTACATCCTTGGCGCACTAAAGTGTCTATATACTTCCGGAAGCCCCATAGAAGAGTCTACGAAACCATACAACTCTACCGCTGGTACCACATATTGTGTGAGTTTTCGTGGCAGAATCCCCGAGAATCTTACAGACTTTCTCCCCAAATAGCCAACATTGGCGGAGTCCTGGGCATCTGCATCGGCTGCTCCTTCATCAGCGGCTTCGAGCTGATCTACTTCGTGGTGTTCCGTCTCTGGTCCAACTACCTCCGGCAGGCGGAGAGCTAATTAGGGCACATATTACGCATACGCCGGGTGTGCTAATTTGTTGTGATTTATTTCAGAGACAGTGGGGCATTAATCTTTATGACTTGGACTGTATGCGAGGTGAAATAAATGAAAGGCAGTTTTTGAGTGGGTGGTGGGCTGGGGGGTGGTGCTTAGTTGGAGTGTGCCGATCATCAAGGTTAAGTGGTCTGCTGAGCCCCCTTTTCAGAGTCTCGTCCTGTTCGCAGTTGTCGCCTGGGGGCCACTTGATGACTACTGAACGGCGACAAAGGCAAAGAAAAATGTACATACACTTAAAAAAAATAAAGACAAATATTTAATAAAAATATAAAATAAAACAATCCTTTAAAAACACAATAATAAGTCTAATTTAATTATGTTAAGTTTGTTAAGTAGGGTATAATTATTTTTAATCTTTATCTAATTTCTCTCTCTGTACCCCCACCAAGTGTGAATACGTTTCTTAAGTGCACTTCAACGTGCGTTTCTTCTGCATTGATTTTTTCCAAAACCCCCCCCGTCAGCTTGTCAACTTTTGAATAATAAAATGTCCTTCTTTCTTTCATTGCAGGTGAGTTTTCCCAAGAAAATCGTATCCTATCTCCTGCATGGGGTAAGTTTAAGTTTAGTTTTTAAAGTTTCAACTGAGATTTTGGGAGGTACATCCTGTGTCTCAACAGACGCTGTTAGGAGTCTGTAAGAAAGCTCTTGAAAGCTCTCGAAAAGTGCAGAAACCAGCTACAATGTAAGCAAGCACCAAGAAAGCTTTCAAAAGCTCTAGCTTAGAGGCTTAAACGGTAATAAATGAGGTATTGTTTTAATGGCCATGTAAATCATGTTCAGACATGTTCAATCATGTTAAATCAATTGAATTTAAGATGAATATGCCTTTAAAATTTATTAAAAAGAGAAAATCCCAAAAAGTGCCACCTAAGCAAGAGAAAAATGGGAAAATCTGGTAATAGCCGCCCAGGGCCACGCCCAGGAGCAAGGCGCAAGGCGAACGTCTCCATTAATTTCGAAACCGCCAACTTATCAGGCACCGTCATGGTCCTAAGTGATTTTCCCCCGGCTCCCCCTTGATTTACCGCTCGAGAGGGAAAAGGATATCTGCTCCGCATTACACACATAGAGCAGCTGAACCGAACCGAACTGGTGGCAAGGACACGCGATACTATGCGTCCTTCACCAAAGCCCCCAAAAAAGGAAGCTGGCTGGGAAAAAAAATTTATACATAAATATCTTTGAGCTTCAGGACCTTCGGCATTCCTTTTAAAGTATTCGTGTGCGGCGGTGGCGGTGGCAGTGGCAGTGGCGGCAGCTTGACATTATTATTTTTTATTTCTTTTTATAAATTTCACCTTTTTTTTGTGTTTTGGAGGCTGATGAGTGGCCGCTGATCAAAGGGATTCCCGGCCAGGAGGACGGAGCCAGGAGCCAGCCAGGATGCCTCTCCTGGCAACGGTTTCCGGGGATAATGCAATTGGCTTTCTAATATGTGTCCTTAAAGGGGCCCGAGTAGTTCGATTTTGGAGGAAACTTTAATTGCTGGAGGGGGGAAGGACTCGGATTTCAATCCTGAAGTGCCTCCAACCTGGAAATCCTGGAAAGTTGCGACCAAACTTTAGTTGCAAAACTTGGAATTGAATTTTCCTTTAAATTAAACACTTTGTGGAGCTTTTAAACTCGTGTCTTCAATTGCGTCCCTATTTTCCTGCCCCCCAAGGACATGAGGCATACCTTTATGGTGCTATACCCTCCACCCAGCCAGCTCCCTGCATCGATGTCGGCTGTCTCATTTGCATAATTCTAATATGGAACATTTTTTGGCCAAGTCCACAACATGTCCACCCACACAGCTCGCATGGTCCTGCTCCTGGTCCTCGTCCTCGTCCTGGGGATTTGCATAAATAACGGTAGTTGGTAGGTAGTCCTTGTCCATTGCCTGTCAACGTAAATTACGGCCATTTGATTTCGGCAATTACAACGCATTTTTGTGCAACAATTTCAGGTCCTGGGGCTCCTGCCCTTCTGCCTCCTCCTTGATTTATGGGCCCTCTTTCGGATGTCCTTTTTCGGGGGCAATTTCAATTTAAGCTGCCCATTCAGCTTCGACATGTCGTGGAGCAAGTTAATTATGAGCTTATCCTTGGACTTGTCTGCAGTCGACTATTTATTGTCGCTGTCCTGTCTGCAGGACTTCCTTTGTCCGCCGGCATTGTTCTCTCGGCCACTTGGCTGCCGTCCCAAAAACCTGTAGACAGCCTGGGCCGTGGAAAGGACCTTCTATTCTTCGGGAACTATTTGCATTCTTGGAAGGGGGTGGGCTGGGGTGGTGGGTGGGTAGAGTACCAAAATGATTATCATTTGTTTTCGTTAAGTTGGCCAAAACCACACTGTCCCGAGCCAACAAGTTGTGGCAGCTCATAAAAATGAATTACGTGCCGGGGTCCTGTCCCCAGGACTCCCTATCTCCCCAGGATAAGGAAGTGGATCTTGGAAATACCTTGATGTGGGATAAGCTCCAGTGGCTTAGAGCCTTAGGAAGAAAGGATGCAAATTAAATTGGGGTTGAGTGAAATTTATGCATGTCCTTTGCAGAGAGGCTCTTCTTCTTCTTCTATTTATGGTAATTTCCGTTCTTTGAGGTTCTAGTCCTTGAAGTCTTCTATTCCAGACTCTTCCAACTGCTTTCTCCAATTACAAAAAATAATTTGTATTGATTTTCTTCAAGAGGCTCCTCCTTTTTTCAAAGATTTTGTTTATTTTCTTTCGCATCCCCCCTCCCCCCTTACCCTTGACCGTTGTGTAAGTCCTTCGAGTCAGAGTCTTATGCAAATGTTCTCTGGGACAGGGACCCTCAATCGAACAAATCCCGGGCCCTGTCCTGTCCGTTCAATCAGAGCTGACACTGCCTGGCGGGAACATCCGCATCCGTATCCCACATCCGCATCATCCCTGTCATTGTCATTTGAGGGGGGGAGTGCGTGGGTGGATTGGGCTTTAAAGCGATTTATTTATGCAACGGCATGTGCTCCACTGAGCTTAACCGAATTTCGAATGCAAATTTGCACGTGCCGTCGGTCTTAGGCCCGAGATACGTACGTACATAGCTTGCATTTAATTATTAAAATTTAATTTGGCCACTTTCCCAGCCATCCTGCCAGAAACTACTCCAGAATGGAGGACACAAGCCTGCTGACTCAGATCCTTTGTCTTGCGAGCAAACAACCTGTTTGCATACGAGGGAAAGTTTAAAAAAAAAAGGGGGGGACTGCCATTAGAGTTATGACCCAAAATAGTTTCTCTTTGTTTTGATTTTCTTTTCTTTTCTTTTATTTCGCTCTTTATATTCGGCTGATAAATTTTTGATAACTTGCGTCACTGGCATCTTTGATGCCCGAAAGGGAAAGTGCCAAAGCAAGAGAGCCTCTCGCATAAAGAGAGTGTTACTAAGAGAGGGAAAGCTCTGGCCAGCACGTGCCGTTAGGCGGCAAAGCGAATTCAAGTTCAAGTCGCACAACATTGAAAGCCAAGTTCAGGCTCCAAGGCTCCCCATCTCACTCGGGCCTGCTCCGTCCGGCTGCGGCCCTCTTGCTCGCACCTTTGCACGTGTTCCTCTCGCTCTCTCTCTCTCTCTCTCTGTCGGTGGCAGGACTATGTATTCTCGTGATTATGTAAGCTATTTATCCTTCTGCTATTTTGAATTTATTTCCCTTCTTTTTTGTGGCATCCTCCTCCTAATTTCTGTTTGTGGCCGCAAATTTTCAATCTTTGTTGTCCTTCGCTCCTTGTTTGGTATTTATTTTTCATTTGCTGAGGAATGTCCTCCGACAGGCATCCTTTTTGTAGTTCTCCCGCCTGGCATGTCTCGCATATCCTGGCATCCATAAACTTGTGTTTCCAGCATTTGTTGCGCATCCCAGTCCCAGCTGGACTCGGATCCCGCCTCAGGGGACGTACTCCTGGCCTTGATTAGCTCTCGGATTGTTGTCCTTAAATGGTGTCCCTGGAGACTGCGAGTATTCCAGTTCGAATCACTGTCCTCTGGTGTTTAACCTTGTGGGCTCCACTTCCTTTTCGAAGGGGGGGATGCGTCAGTCACAATTGTTGGCTTTTCCCGGTGACTGACAATGATGGAGCCTGGCATTGGTGGCAAGGACACCTCCAAGGGCGTGCCAGGACAGTCGAGTTATGACTAAGAAGGGAGAGTCCTTACAGATAGGTTGTGACAGGACTAGACTCTGTATCTGTTCAGAGAGAGTCCTTACCTACCGCACTAATGACCTGGACACTAGCTCCTGTCTGCCACATGCCACATGCAACTTGGCATTAATTTCCCAAAGACAGGACCCACCACCCATCGTCCTTTGCTCATTTGGGGGCCTTTGTTTCTGGGACCCACTTAATTACAATAATTCATCAACTTGTTTTCGCTCCTCGGAGGACGGCAGGACTCCCCTCTCTGATTGAGTTTGTGGCTCGCTTTTGTTTGCCTCTTTGTGGCAACTTAATATCGAAATGCGTTATTCGGTTTGCAGGACTCTGTGCAACAGATAGCCCTGCCACCAGGGCCATCATGACCATGACCATGGCCATCTCAGTGGCAACGGCACCGTCATCCGCCGCATTGACGCACAACACAGCCCTTCGTCGAGTCCTTTTGATTTTCCTGCATTTTCCACGCAATCCCCTCCCAGGACATCGGACTGTGGGCGTGCATTAATGTGGCAGCAGTGGGCGAGGGGGAGTGGTCGGGACAACAGGCTCTGAGCCGGGCCAACAAACAGGCATAAACAAAACACACACACTGTTATACTACAAAGTGTGGCCAATGAGAGGGAGAAAGGGGCCCTCTCTTGGGGAGAGCTTTTTCTAACGGAAGAGAAGTGAGGGAGAGCCAAGAGAGAGCTTTATTTCGCTGGCAGTGATGCTGAAATTTAGTTTAAAATCTGTGTTTTAATTTATAAATATTTAAAAAACATGAAACTATAAATAAA